TTAGTGATTTGTATCAAAATATTTATTTCTCTAAAAAAGTAGAGTCTATTTATGAAATCTCATCTATCAAATAATAAATTCAATACAACATTAAGATATATTCATTTCTTCCATTATTGATTATTGTATATGTGTATGTAAATGTTCATTAATATATCTCATCTTGTAAAAAAAAATAAAATACGAATATAAAAATAATTTGTTATTTTTATATTCGTATTAGAAAGGAAGTATATTCTATATCCTTCTTTTCTCATCTTTCTGATTATTTTATTTTTCTTTATTCATTTAAAAAATTCAAATTTTTCTGCGGCACCCTAAAATCCGATTAGGACTTGGCCATTCTTGCTTTCGACACACATTTTGACCCCGTGAGAGTAACGAAGTGCTGCCGAAATTTGTGAAAAATCCAAAACTTGGTTAGTTTCTCTTCACTCTCCTCCACCTCCTTATTCATTTATCTATTTATTTACTTATTTTTTTGAAAATTTTAATTTGCGGCATTGTAAAAATTAGTGTGCTTCTCTTAGTCTCTCCTTTCTCTTTGCACATTTTGACCCCGTTGGGGTAAGAAAATGCTGCCGAAATTTTCAAAAAAATAAATAAGTCCTCTTCCCTCGCTCTTTATATTTTATTTCTTTATTTATTTTTATTCTTTCTTTTATTTTATTTTTATCTCGAAATTTTATTGTTTATTCTATTTTCTTTCCCCCTCCCCTCCATATTATCTTTTTTTTTGATTAGGTCGCCGCTACCCTCCCCTAACCACCTAAACTCCGATTAGGGTTTTCTTAGGGTTTTCTAGGGTTTAGGGTTCTCCTAACTCCCGCCTCCTCCCGTCGGGCACCCTGGACCTGGACGGCCCCTCCCCCCTCGAGCGGTTCGGAGCCTTCGTCTCACGCGCGACCCGCAAAATCCGAGGCGAGCCGACTCACACATACTCACCCCGCTCCCGCGGTCCCCTTCCTCTTACCGGTGGGCCCCTTTCCCCACACAGTCCTCTTAGGACTACCTCCATTCCCCTTCCGGCCATGGAAGGGAGTTCATCCGAGGAGATCGCCGCGGCGCAGTCCACACCCTAGGTCAGCGCGCCGTCAGCGGCTCATGATCAGGCCCATGCGGACACGATGGACCTTCATGCCGTCCTTATAGCAATCCAGGCACAACTTAGTACGCTTGGACCGTTGCAAGCGCAAATCAATGCGCTAGCCCTCGACGTCAACCGCCTCAAGGGCTCCCCTCATCGCTCTCTCCACCGCTCTCACACCCCTTCCCCTACCGGCTCCGATTCCGGCTCCCCAGGACTCCAGAGACGGAGTCACCATGGTTCCCCCTCCTTTGCGGGCCAGGCCCAACACTCCCCCTCAGCGATGACGAGTGCTGCTGCCGCTCAGACCACCCCGTCCGTTGCGGCAGTTCTTCCGGCCACGGCCGCCCCTACTGTCTCTACTAATGCCGTAGGTGCTGAGGTCCAGGTACAACCATCTGGCCGCGCAGTTTCATCGACCTACCCCGGTGTTGCTTCCCAGCTTCCCACACCGGTCGCGGCAATACGGATCCGCCCTCTTCTTCCTGCCTTCGTCCCCCCACCCCCATAGCAGGGTACCGCCCAGACTGGGATTCCTCCTCCTACTGGGCGACCCGCTCCGCCCCCTCCACCTCCGACCCCGCGCACCCAGCGAGTGGCCACTTTACAGGCCACAATTGCGCAGGGTCAGACGAAGATTCTCGCTCTGAGACAGCCTCACCCATCACAGGCTGCCCACCCTTCTTCCTCTACCACCCCTTCGGTCCCCATGATGGAGGCTCCTTTCCCTCGACCTGCTCCTCAGCCTCTTCCCTCCTACCTGGCTATTTCGGGACAGCTGCCCGCGACCGTTGCCTCCTCGTCTGCTGGTCCATCTGCCAGCGGCCATGGCCCACAGCCTTCCCCCACCTCTGCCCCTGCAGCGGCCTCGACTTACGCTGCCGCAGTGCACTCGCCTCGATCTCTCTCCCCCCGCCATCAGCACAGTGGACATCCTCTTGTGCGCACCACGGACATTCCCGAGTATGATGGCACATTCCGTGTCTCTCGCTGGTTGCAGATAGCAACGTGCACGCTCTCAACGACGACCACCCGTCAGGAGTTGTAATGCGATGTGCTCGCAACCAAATTGCGAGGTAGCCCTTTCACTGCGTGGGAGGATCATTATACTCAGCGCCTCCCCGTGGGTGAGGTCCCCACTTTGGCCGACTTCGCGGCCTTCCTTCAGGACCGTTTCGGCCGACGCCTTAGACCGCGTCACCCAGACCAGATGGTCCGGGTCCTCTGTACCGGCCGACCTGGAGCATCACATCCGGGTGTTTTAGGACGCTCGCCTTGTTTGTGACGAGACGTTCCTACCGGAGGTCACACTCACCGACCGGTTCCTTGTCAGCCTGCCGACTAACTACCGCCTAGAGCTATGGAGGCCATCATTCTCTTCCGCGGAGCAGGCATACGAGGCTGCGCGTCAGTACCAGAGGATGTGCAGTCGCTTCTCCGTCGCCCCATCCTCTTCGCGGCCAGCCGCCACCTCCTAGTCTCGGGGTACCACCCGAGGCCCCTCCTCGTTTGCCGGTCGTTTTCGTCGCCCGGCTCGACCTGGAGCGCCATTCGCTCGACACTACAGTTCTCTCGAGTATGGAGAGGACGCCTCATCCGAGCTCAGTCCTACCATTGGGGACGCCCCCGAGGACATCGAGCTTCGGGACGTCATCCAGTACCACTTGGATGACGACACTGTCCCAATGGCCGAGCGCCTGCAGATGGCCATGTCTGCCATGGGTCGTGCACGCAGTCGGGTTGCACAGCCTGGCGCCCGCACACCCACAATTCCTCAGATAGACCTCCCGCAGGGTTTTGTCCCTCCTTGCGGAGCTTTATCCCCCGAGGAGTGTGCCGCCCTCGAGGACCGACGAGGCTGCCTTCGTTGCCGCCAGGATGGACACACCTCCTCACGGTGTCCATACCACACCGCCCTCGATCGATACTACGCTGACATTTCTCGTCAGCGCGGATCTCAGTCCCCCCCCGGCCCCGCCCGGCAAGCCCCACCCAGCTAACCACGGTGCAGTGTACCCCTGAGGCCTCGCACGTAGCCAGCTTCCCGACCACCGAGTCGCGGTTTGCCCCTTTGGCTACCCCACCAGAGGACCTTCAGGATACGACAGACGCAGTTCTCTCTGCCCCGTCGTCTGTCGAGGTACTGTCAGCCTCCCCGCAGACCGCCACATCCAGCGCTTCTCCCCCGAGACTTCCGACGCGTCGCGCCATTCGCACAGCCCATTGTAGCACTCAGCTGGCGACTCGCGATGACGTTGTGTCATCTTTCCTGGACTTGAGCATTTTGCAGGCTCGTCAGGAGCGACTCACGAGGCACGTCAACGTCCTGCGTCGTCTTCTCGCTCTGCTCTCTGACCCTGATCGCACCCTACCCATCATCCCTATTCGCCTAGGGACATCTACGAGGGTATACCACGCTTTATGGGACTCTGGCTCGCAGGGAGATTTCGTTCACCCTCGAGTGGTTGAGGAAGCTCGCCTAGCTACCTCTGGGTCTCGCTCTCCTATCTCCGTTACCCTCGGAGATAACAAGACACAGCGCTTCTTCAATCAGACGGTCCCCGACCTCCACTTCTCCCTCACCCTTCATCCATCGGATAGTACCCAGACGCCTAGGTGCTACCATTCCTCCGCATACTTCGACGTGCTGGAAACTGGGTACGACTTTATCCTTGGCACTCCTTGGTCTCGCTGGTTCCGCAGCACAGAGGCCGAATGGGCGACCGAGACACTCGTTCTCAAAACGAAGTGTGGTCAGACCCATCGCGTCCCGTTCATTGGAACCACGAGCGACACCCCACCTGACCTACTTCCCCAGAACCCTCGTCCCTCAGGGTCCCACCCCAACATCGCGTTCACTTCCCCTCGTCAGTTCGCTCACTTCATACGACAAGAGGACGTCACGTTCTACTCAGTGAACGTCATGGATCTTCTTCGCTACGATCCACTCTGTCCCGAGGTTGAGCTCATCTCCCTGGAGCCCGATCCCCCTGACCCTCCTTCCATCTTCGCGGCTCCCATCTCTACATCCACTCGTTAGCCTGCGGATACCCCCTGCGCCGTTGACTGTCGAGTCCACACATACGTCTCGTGCTGACGCAGACGCGGAGGAACTCACACGATTCACGACAGACTTAGAGCTGGCCGTTCGCGACCTGGTTCGAGAGTACCGCGACGTCTTTCCCCCGTATTTCTCATACAGCGGGATTCCCCCGATGCGCGGTGTTGAGCATTCCATCCAGCTCGTGCCTGATTATCGTGTTCACAATCAGGCACCGTACCGACTCTCGATCCCAGAGGCGATGGAACTCAAGTGTCAGCTTGAGGAGCTCCTTCGACTGGGTTTCATTAAACCCAATAACTCCCCTTGGGGTGCACCTGTCCTCTTTGCTCGCAAAGCGGACGGAACTTTCCGCCTCTGCATCGACTATCGCGGCCTTAACCGTTACACGGTTAAGAACAACTATCCCATGCCCCGCGCGGATGAGCTGTTTGACCGTCTGGCAGGCAACCGCTTCTTCACGAAGATTGATCTTCGTAGCGGTTACCACCAGATCCGCGTTGCCACAGAGGATCAGCCGAAAACCGCCTTCCGATCGCGCTTCGGCCACTACGAGTTCACGGTGATGCCGTTCGGCCTCACCAATGCACCCGCCACCTTCCAAACGGAGATGAACGACATCTTCAGGGACATCCTTGAAGAATACGTTCTCGTATACCTATACGACATCCTGGTTTACAGTCGTACCTTAGAAGACCATCTCAGACACCTCCGCGATGTCCTACAACGCTTACGCAAGCATGGATTCTATGCCAAGCTCAGTAAGTGCCGCTTTGCCCAGCGCAAAGTGGACTTCCTAGGACACCATGTGTCTGACCAGGGTCTCCACATGGACGACGCGAAGATCACTGCTATTGCAGAGTGACCCGTCCCCACAGATGCCAAGCTGCTTCGCAGTTTCCTAGGCCTCACCAGCTACTATAGTAATTTTATCCAAGGATACGCTAGGTATTCCTACGTCCTTACCTCTACCCTCCTCCGGAAGAACCCGCCGTGGTTTTGGACACCCCTGTGCGAGGACGCCTTTCGCGCCCTCAAGAAGGCGGTGACCTGTGCGCCGGTTCTTCGCCTTCCTGATTTTGATCGTCCCTTTATCGTCACCACCGATGCGTCAGATTTTGCAGTAGGAGTTGTCCTTTCTCAGGTGTTTCCCTCTCCTCCAGATTCACCTTACCCCCATGTTCCTCCTTTCCCCTTCCCTTCTGCTGACACTGCTTCTCGACTAACACCTACCCTCCCACCACTTCCCTCCACTGACAGTCCTCCTGTTACTTACTTCCGACCATCGCGGAGGATGGGATTGTCGAGGCTCGTGCTGGGGATTGCCCGATCGTTTTCTACTCCCGTCAGCTACGGCCTGCCGAGATAAACTACACTGCCGATGAACGTGAGGTTCTCGCAGTAGTTTATGCTACTCGGCATTGACGTCATTATCTTCACGGGGCGCCCTTCACGGTGCGCACAGACAACTCAGTTGTCCAGGCTTTCCCCACGAAGCCTAAGCTTTCCCCTCGACAGACACGCTCGTGTTGTGATTTATCCGAGTTCAGTTTCACCACTCATCCCATTAAGGGTGAAACGAACCACGTCGCAGGTGCCTTGTCCCGCCGTCAGGAACCCATCTAGCTTGCTGCCATCTCCATCACCACTGTTGATCAGTCGGTGATCGATCCGTATCGCACTCAGTATTGCCACTGCCCCGATTATCGCGTCATCCACGCGACACTGCGGAGTGGCAAGACCATTCCTTCCTACTCCTTCGGGGATAACGGCCTCGTGTACTGGCATGGCAGATCTGGTCAGCTAGAACCACGTATCTGCGTTCCCTCCACCGGGCATCTCCGCGTCCAGGCTGTAGCAGAGTTCCATGACCACGCAGTTGCCGGGCATATGGGTTTCCACAAGACGTTGGCTCGTGTTTGCCGCCTATACGTCTGGCCGAAGTCCCAAGGACTTTGTCAAAGCCTACATCCAGGAGTGTCCTACCTGCCAGGAGGTGAACAGTGCGAACCACCTTCCGTATGGGTTACTTGAGCCCCTACCCATACCTGAAGGTCGTTGGCAGTCCATCTCGATGGATTTCATTGGTCCCCTCCGCCCACCCACTGAGCGTGGTCATGATGCTATCTTGGTCGTCGTCGATCGCTTCACGAAGCGTGCACGTTTTGTCCCGTGCCGCTATCGCATTAGCGCTCGTGAGGTTGCCGACATCGTCTTCGACCGAGTCGTGAGAGATCACGGCTTACCTCAGAACATCATCTCCGACCGTGACCCGTGCTTTACCAGCACATTCTGGCAATGCCTATACGAGGTGTACGGATCCCAGCTCTGCTTCTCATCGTCACCACCCTCAGACGGATGGTCAGACTGAGGTCACCAATAAAACTCTCGGTAATATCCTCCGAAAGTTTGTTAGGGATGACCAGCAGTGGGACTTACACTTAGCCCACGCGGAGATTGCGTACAACCACGCTGTTTCGCCAGCCATGGGGATGTCGCCATTCTATTGCGACCTCGGCTACCACCCCCGCGTACCCGCGGATTTCCTACGACCATCGCGGTTGCGCCCAGACACTTGTTGCCCTGCGCTTGACGACTGGATCGCCCACATGGCGGCGATTATGAAGCGCGCACTCGAGCGTTTGGCCGACTCCCAGACTCGCATGGCCGCACGAGCGAACCGATCACGAATGGATCATCCATTCAAAGTCGGTGACGATGTGCTCGTCGACGCACGCCACKTACARCTCGAAGCARATACGCTTCRYAAGTTCATGCGTCGTTTCTTCGGTCCATGCCGCATCCTTCAGGCCGTCGGTTCTGATACTGCCGCTAGTCCGGTCAGCTTCCGTGTGAAGCTACCTGATTACCTTCGACAGGCTCGCGTACACGATGTTTACCACGTCTCCTTGCTGCGTCTTTATCGCAGACCGTCCGAGCGCTTCGCCGGACGCCCTTATGAGCGCCCTCCACCTATTATGGTGGACGGTCACGAGGAGTTCGTTGTTTCTGACATCGTAGCACGCGGAGTTACCGACGATACCCCTCCACGCATCGAGTACCTTGTGCGTTGGAAGGGCTACCCTGATGAGGAGGCTACTTGGGAGCCCCTGGAGCACTTGCAGCACGCCAGGATGTTGGTGCGTGCATACGATCGTGCTCGTCATGCTGCGATGTATGCCCCTGCTCAGCCGACTGACCCTCTTCCTCCTCCTCCGGCTGAGGAGATTGCTGAGGACGAGCCTACTCCCTTTGAGGCCGTTCCTCAGCCGCAGACGGTCGTCTCCGAGCGTCCACAGTGCACTCCTCGTCGCCCTTCGCGTTACAATGACTGACACTCTTATCCTCTATCTTTCCCCTACTGACTCACACCATCAGGTACTCCATCATCAGCTTCTTCAAGATGTCAGCGTCTTGCGGCTCTGCTTCGACATCGACTCGACTGCTACTTCATCGACGTCATCGACCACTTCGACGACTTCAGCCACCTCATTGGCTTCAGCTACTTTGGACGTGACTACTTCACGCCACCACCTTACCCTGTACATTCCCTTGCATCTGTCGCATGATGGTTCTCACTTAGCTGGGTCTCTTTGAGTTGGGCTCTCCTTTGGTATCGCCTAGGCATTGGGACCGTAGCGTTATCTTGGCTTCCCTGCTCCCAGATCTAGCTCCTTCCTCCCCCAGTTGGTGAGTTGTGTGCATGTTTCCCTCACCCACTGCCCGCATCACCCTAGTGTCGGCCCTTGCATGCCTTCAGTTAGGCATATCTCCACCCTATTCCAGGCTCCCCCTCTTTTCATGGTCGACCCTACATGGTGTTATCCTTTTGTCGAGCATTACCCGCCCTGATGGTCTATCTGTTAGGGTCTTTGGTTTTGTTTCGTTACCACTCTCCCACCTTGAGCCTGATGACCTGTCCCACCTTCATGTGTGACTGCCCTTAGGAGTTTCGATTCTTAGGCTCCATTCACCCCCTCTGAGACCATCCCATTCTTAATGGTTCAGCGACAGGACATTATCTTGTGCCATATTGCTCATTTTTCTTTCAGCACTGAGGCAATTGCCTCCAGAACTTTAGGATTGTATATTGCTGCATTTCACTTTTTGTTATTAGCTAGGATATGGATACCAGACATTTGCTTTTCTTTTGACATTATGTAGCTTAGGATGCATCGCATGGACTCCGCATGGAGCTTGCTCCGCATCCTAGATTTCTCAGCTTTCTTTATTGCAGAGTTCCGCTGCTTTTGTGGATACCGTGTTTATGGCTCTTGCGATCCATTACAGGTCTGAGGATCGTGCAGCGGGCCTTCATCTGTCGTGGCCTACAGCCAGGGCCTATTTGGCTATTTGCCAGTTTGGCTTGTGGGACCAGGCCGTGGCCTGACCCCACAGGCCGTGTGATGTTCCAGTCCTGCCCGGTACCACTGTCGGTACCAGTCCAGTCCAGTCAGTCAGTCCGCTTGGGGTATACCCCAGCTGTAGTCTGTTTTTGATTCATTCTTCATTTGCACAGATTGGAGTATGTGCGTGTTGAGTCTGCGTTGGAGCTGCGCTGTCCCTTCTAGCTCCATCTCCATCTCCCCCATCCTTATCCCTTCGTCTTGATCCTGATATATCGCCACCCCGGCGGGTCCGTCAAAACTCTTGTTCCGTACCACTTTCGATACCATGCTAGTCTCAGTCCTTTCGCTGGGGGTATACCCTAGCTACAGTCTGTTGTTGGTAATTTTTAATTTGCACACTTTGGAATATATGCGTGTTTATACTACCTACGAGTTGTATTGTTCCTTCCATCTTCATTTTCATCTCCCTCGTTCTCATCCCCATCGTCTTCATCCTGACAGACCGCCATCGCAGCAGGTGCGTCACATGTTGCCTTATTTTATACATATTTTTATCTCGCAACTAAAGTAATTATAAAAGAATAACTATTTTTTTTCCATTAGAAGATAAGTTGTTAGAGTTTGTTTTGTTATTCACCAATTCAAAGCTTTCGTCTAGAATCAAACGATTACGGGCTATAAAAAACTCGAGTGAAAATAATCATGTAGAATGATTTAAGTCCCTTTAAATTGTTTGTGTTATAACCTCAACCATTGAAAGTGTAAACAAAATTAGGCTTGTTTTTACTGTAACTTCCAATACAATTTGTTTGCTTCTTCTACAATGATCACCCCTGTTAAGATTTGGATTTTTATCACAACAATTTAGGATTCAAAATACCTTAAGTGGACTCATGAGCCCAGTCAATAACTATTTAACTCTCCGATATTCTATGATGTGTCATCCACAAGTGTAGTGAAACTTAAAAATAGTCAAAGAGAACGAATAATATATATAAAAAAAAAAGAAAAAAAAAGAGGGAGTACAAAGTAATATTTAATTGTTTAAGTTATAAAAGAAAAACAAAAAGAAAATAAAAAATAATTAAAGACAGACAGTGTAAAAATATTTTTTTAATCTTTTTGTTTAAATAAACATAAATCTCAATCATAACTTAAAAAAAAAAAAAAAAAAATAGAACAAAAAATGGTAGTTAACATTAAATTGAAGTAGGATGAATAGTAGTTGATCCATTAAGAATTTATGAAACAATGACCAAAGTAGGTAAAAAAAAAAAAACTTACTTCCTTGAAAATAATGTATAATTTTGTTTTTTATAATATTAGATAGATCTCAATCATACCTTGTAAAAAAAAAAGGTGAAATAAAAAATTATGAACTAGAAACTATACTTCGCAGTAAACTGAACTAGGGTGAATAGTAATCGATCCATAAAGGTTTATGAAAAAATACTTGAAATACCAAATCAGTTACTTCGTTGAAAATGATGTAAAAATATTATTTTTTAATATTAAATAAATCTTAATCATACCTCGTAAAAAAAAAAAGGTGAAAGAAATAAAGTACGAACGAAAAACTATACTTCGCAATAAACATAACTAGGGTGAATAGCAGTCGATCCATAAAGATTTATGAAAAACTAATTAAAATACCAACTGATATTAAGACCACGAAGAGTTTTTTCACCTAAAAATAATTATATCTACTAATGTAGCATGTTAAGGTATACAATAAACTGTTGAAAAAAAAAAAAAATAGAGAAAAAAAAGTGTGTGTCATCCGTAATCTTATGAAAGACCGCACTGAACAAGCATCTAACCTTGTGACTTGAGTCATAAAATGCTTTTGGATAATACTCCCTCGAGCGATTCGTCACTTTTTTTTTTTTTTTAAGCGGCGACCTAAGTAGCAAGTAAAATGTAGTGGTACAACGATTTATTTCAAGCATCATTGGACCTCCACCCCTTTTCCAAAAAAAAAAATTTACCTTAACGAGAAAATTTTGTTAGTAATATTGAACTTTTGCATTATTTTGTACGATACCTTAAAGCTACCACTTAAAGTCATTCTTTTTGCTAAAAACACCCAGCTGTTTGTCTGTGTTGTCTATAGAGGTACTAAATGACGCAGAAAAAAAATCGACATCTTTATTGCTCTTGTATTTGTTTAACTTCATCGTTATGACAAGTAGTGATATGCCTTCAATGGTTGAGACTCTTGTAAGTCTGCATTTTCATTTTTTCGACCGAGACAAAAACAAAAAACACCGCTGAGCCACCGTACTAGATACAATGATGATGATTGCACGACACACCTGCGTTTGACTATTTGAGTAATTCCTCAAATAAACTTGTACAATTCTCATTTCCCCGAGGATACACTATTCTGCATCATATACGTAAGGATCCACCGTCTTGAGATACAAAAAACAGTAAAGAAAACAACCGCTTCACTATAGCTATAAACAATCCTCTCGACAACAGTGCACTACAAACAAAAAATATATCAATTTAAATTAGTGAATACATCACAATCATCCACAATCACCATCAATTTGCACTTCATTATAGCCCAATATTTGTCATTTTGATGCACCCAATCCTATCCCTCGTTTGATCAATTTTAACAACATTGTTTTATATGTGAAATATATTATGCAATCATTAAACAACAATGATGCTATGCCAATGTCTTTATTAGGTTATCGCTCCTACATCTTCTCCTTCACTATGACCACTTTCATCCTACTCATGTTCTTATGCTCCATCTTATCCTGTGCTATATTGATTGTCCCCTCACTACCACCATACACAAAATCCTATCTACAATACTTAATACCCCGCACCCAACCAAGCTAGCCCCTCCAGACAAATACTAAAAAAAAAAATCAGAAAAATAAAAATATGAAAATATATATAGTTGATATAAATATATAATATATATCCTTGAAATTGTACTTCACTGAACAACTCAAAGCCAAACACAAGAAAGGCATACGCAATTACCGAAAGTCGACTCTTAGTTGACTCAAACGACATGCAAAAACATTCGCAACATCGATATCATGAGCCTACAAATTTCCACAATGCATAATCTCTCTTGTTTGCTTGCAAGTGTGTGTGTGTTTGCCTATGTCTGGATACATGTGTACGCCCGCCAGCATATGCGTGTGTGTGTGTATGCACGCTCAGTTGTGTCTGTGTGAATGTGCACGTGCTAGCTCGTGAGCGAGTGTATGTGCGTGCACACACGGTCATGGCTCTGTGTGTGTATCCAAAAATTTTGATTGACTGGTTGTTTCCAAAAAATTGAAGAAAAAAAAAAGAACAAAAAATATAAACAACAAAATTTTGAGGGCGAGGAGGGGGGCGGGGTTCCAAAATTATTTATCCCCCCCACTTCTGTGCACTTCAGTTTTCTTTTTGCTCGACAAAATGGCAAAAAAATGGAGGTAGGCCTTTTAACATGGGAAAAAAAAAACCTATTTGGGACCCTAAGTACAGTTTTACGGGTTCCAAACCCGAAGGGGCCGATGCCCCCGAATGATCAAGTGGGTAACAGTTCACACCTGATATTTCCCCTGACATTTGACATTAACGAGACAATCGTAATCCAAAACCACCACAAACACTGATATCAATATAGCACGATCGTCTACTGCTATTGTCGCATCACACATACCTACCTCCCTGTGTAACGAGAGGGGGCAAGCCCGGGGTGCAAAAAGCAACGAGTCATGTGGAGGGGGCGGAGAGGGGGGGTGATCCCAGCCACACGCGAGATCCCTGCATGTCACGTTGAAACGAACAAAAACGCATCTTGACTATATTTGCACAAACACTCCACTACCCCCCACTCTCCCCCCAACATCTACGCGAACCACAACGGCCGTGCAATTTAATGTCACAAACGATAAATATCTCGACGATAATTATCATTGTCAAAAAGACAATTCTCTCTTTTTCTTTCTATCGCCATGACAGCATCTGGGCCGCACCTATTCTGATGTCGATCCAGATCGTCGATTCCGATCATTAATCTATATGCACACTTTGCAATTGTTAACAACCCAAGCAAAAGGAAAAAA